GAGATGGATACGTAGATGAAGTTGTTGTCTCTCCAATGTCTTATATTGATAAGAAATTCAAAGCCAAGCAAGCTGAGGAGCAAACCTTTATTGATGAGACCGTCAGTGAATTCTCCTTGAATGAAGAGCAAGAGCAGGCATTTTGTATAGTAGCCAATCATGCTACACTCCGAAAAGTTGAGCAGCTTAAGATGTATCTTGGAGGTATGGGTGGTACAGGCAAGTCTCAGATTATTAAAGCATTGATATCGTTCTTTGCAAAGAGAAAGGAGTCTCATCGAATACTAATCTTAGCCCCAACAGGCTCTGCAGCTGCATTATTAAATGGTTCAACTTATCACTCTGCACTTGGTATTCAGTCAGATGGTACCTGGAAAATGAATGAGCATAAGCTGCTAGCTCAAGTTTGCGATCGTCTTGATGGTACTGACTACATATTTCTTGATGAAGTCTCAATGGTATCTTGCATGGACATATATAAGATTAGCTCTCAACTTGCAAAGGTAAGAGACAATTATGACTCTCCATTTGGTGGAGTGAATATGATTTTTGCTGGAGATTTTGCACAGCTAGCACCTGTCTGGGGAGCAGCATTGTATAGTGCAACTGTTGGTACTACCATTGATTCATCAATGACTGAGGCAGGCCAACAGAATGCAATTGGAAAGGCTCTGTGGCACCAGATTACAACAATGGTTATTCTACAGAAAAATATGAGACAGAAGATGCAATCTCCAGAAGACAAGAAGCTCCGAACTGCACTGGAAAATATGCATTATCCAGCATGCACTCTTGATGATATTGACTTTCTTCATACAAGAATTGCTGGAAAGCAACCTGGCCAACCTGATATCAGCAGTAGCAATTTCCGCAATGTGTCCATTATTGTAGGCCTTAACACTGAGAAAGACCAGATTAACCATCTCGGCAGTCAACAATTTGCTGAGGAGATAGGACAGCAGCTTACCCACTTCTATTCTATCGATACTATGAGTGATAATTCTCAGGCAGATATTGTTGAACTCTGCTTGATGCGGCAAAGAAAGCGGAGAAAGCAGGTATCCATTCCAGATAGACTCCAAGATGTAATTTGGAATTTAAGACATTCTGCTACTGAAGGCGTTGCTGGTAAGCTATCACTGTGTCTAGGCATGCCTGTGATTATTCGCAACAACAATGCTACCAAGCTGTGCATCACCAAAGGCCAAGAAGGTTTTGTAGCAGGCTGGCAGTCTGGTGTAGGGCCTAGTGGCCAGCAGATTTTGGATACCTTGTTTGTTCACCTGGACAATCCAGCCCGTACTATTCAGCTGGAAGGATTGCCTGAGAATGTAGTGCCACTTACAAGATTATCTGGAAGTGTTGAATGCAAAGGTTTGAAAATGCCATTGACAATTAATTGTTCATAGGTTTCAATATTGCCCAATTTTGCAATGACAGACTACTCATCTCAAGGAAAGACCCAAAAATTCAATGTTGTTAATCTAAACAGCTGTCGTAACTACATGGCATATTATACAGCACTTTCTAGAGGGTCTACTGCAGATGGTACAATAATTATTCAGGGATTTGATGATGAGTGCATTAAGGCTGGAGCATCAGGCCATCTAAGACAGGAATTTCAAGAGCTTGAACTACTAGATGAGATTACTCTGCAGAGATTTCTAGGAAAGCTCCCAAAAGAAATCAATGGATCTCTCCGTAAAATTCTTCTCAAGCAGTACAGAGAGTTGAAGGGACAAAACTACTGTCCTATTAAGGTTGATTCTGCTCTACGATGGTCCTCCTCTGATCCAATGATGGTAATTGAGCCTGTCAATGATGCAAAATGGACTACTGCTATCAAGGCCAGTAAAGACTCTAAACAAATGCTTGCTAACTACATTCCTGCTCAAGGATCCAATCCTATTACTGCAGCAAAACAGACCGTGAAGCGGAAATTGAATTCTGACAATGATACTAAACCAGCTAAATGGCAGAAAACAAAGAATAAGTCTCAGGAAATGCCTCTTGGCTTGAAATGGGACTCTGTAGACTATAGCTGCTCATATGATTCTCTCTTCACTATTCTCTTTTACCTCTGGTCCAGAGGTCCAACAAAGTGGTCATTCCATCTATCAAAATATCTTCCCTATGGCCAGCAGCTTTCAAATGGATTTTCAGAAGTTATATGTGGCAGAGCTGGATTTGAAGAAATTCGTGACAGAGTCAGAAAGAATCTACATACCAGAAGTCCTCAAGCATTCCCTTATGGGATGACTGGAACAGATGTACGTGAGTTGGTAGGCACACTCTTTCAAGATGGACAACAGCTTGGGACTGGACAAAAAATATGCAAGTCTTGTTCTTCTACTACAGAGTTGGATACTGCTCCTCAGAGTCATATTTTTATACAGTCATCAGCTGACAAAACTGTGAGCGCTACCTTTAAAAATTGGCAGGCCTCAGAGGAACATTGCAAAACTTGTGGATCAAATGCACAAGTCCAGCAGCTATACAACATACCTCCAAAGATCATTGTATTCAATATTGAGGTTACAGGAATTGCAATTAGCAAATCAGTCAAGTCACATACTATTGATGGAAGAAAGCACATTCTTCCACTGCAAGATGTGATCTATGCTGGCTCTAATCATTTCACAGCCTGTATTATTTCAGATATAGGAGATGTCTGGTATTATGATGGAATTGAAACTGAGAGAAATTGTATTCTGGAGGGTGCTGTGGCAGAATATACTGATAAAAAGCTGATGAAGTGCAATTTGAGGCGTGCTGTGTGCACCATTTATGCCAAGGCATAGGTATGCTATTAGTAGACTTGCTGTATGTAGATAGTAGGGATGAATTAAGTAGCACAATAAAAGTGATGGATAAAGACATAAGACAGAAAAAAAGAACTCGTAACTGCCATGCAAAGCAATGGCCCACAACACCAAGTGATATTAATGTAGTATCCATCCAATCACCCTTTGTGTCTGAGAAGAAAAATAGCACAGGAAGGCCCAGTTTGAACTGGGAACCACAAAGAAGATACTACATTGTAAATCTGACCTGTACAAACCACTAGAGTATTAAATATACTGCAATGAATACTTTCATGTACTCATATGGCTTTAATTCTTTTCTCTGCTCTCCTTAGAGTGGTTTGGATAGCTTGGAGTCACATCAGATCACATTGGATCAGTGTTCGGTGATTAATCAACACTTTCCATAAAGGGATTTTTCCTGATGTCTCTTGGCTCTCTCAGTCTAGGCGTATCAGGTCTTTCTGTCTAATGCACATGTGTGCTGCATCATTGCAGCACGTGCTTGTCACTGTTGATTGCATTGCCGTTGATTATCACTCCCAACCACCAACTTGACGTATTGTGTCGCCTCTCCACCCTCTATCCACCTTTGAAATTGTCAGATCAGGCAAGAACTCTTCTCTACTAGATGTGTTTTGCATTATACTGATATTTCTTATAGTTACATGATACATTCCGAGTCCTTGCTGCAAAGCATGCCCCCTCCCTCTCAGAGCCTATTACCAGTGCCAAACAACAGTGTGTGGGCTGAGAGAGGAGGGGAGATGTGTGTAGCACAAGACAGATCAGCACACAAGTTCAGCAATGGGATCCTGGACTTTGCTCTATGTTGTGGCCAATCCAGATGCTGGGTAAACACCTTTTGACCTTCTGGTGGTTTCCCTAGTCTCACTCCTCCTCCTCAGTGACACACTATACCGTGAGCAAGTCGAGCATTTCATGGGTTCTGATGGCAAGCTATGGCCCTTGACCTACAAAGAGCTCCATGACCTACCCCTCCTCGACTCCGTCATTTGTGAGATCCTACATATGCACCCACCCGTCCTCAGCAGGGACACACGTGTAGTGCAAGACAAGGGGAGACGCATAAAGTGCAAGACTCACTAGGTGCATCATTCGGATTGTTTTCGCAAGGATCACCTACTGATCACATATACCCAGGTATCCACACATGCATCGTGGTGTTCAACCATGTTTGCCACCATCCCATGCCTTGTCTGGCTTCCAGCCCCTCTTGCCGCCGCTTGTATTGGCCATGAATCGCCTTGCCACAACTCTCAACCCCTCCATAATGACCCGCTCTCGGAGCATCAAATGAGGATGAGTGGTTATGCAGCACTTTTGCAACTGCTGTCGACTCTGACCTGCCTTGAGCATGCACCAACTATCTGCTGTTCACATGTGGCCCCCTAGGGGGTTCACTGCCATAGAGGGTCTCATTCACACTAGTTTAATTACAAAATAGCAATAACATGCATTTGTAATAGATACAGGAGTGAAATAGATGGAATATAGATCTAATTATAGAGCTAAGAGAGAGTGTTCGCAGCAAGGGATGAGAAAACGTGAGTGCAATCATCGACAGCAGCAACCCAAGACGAGCATGCATCAACAGAAGCAGTGGTCAGACTCCAGTAGAATAGGGCTGCCACTATGCCTACGACACCATTAAGCCCTCGGCACCTGAGCTTCCTCCAATCGTCGTCTACTGAGCCTTGTGCAAACACACCCTCCACCGCATTCGAAACCCTCCATTGCGGTTGTACTGACATCCACCATGCTGCCAACTCTCACTGCATGGTCAATGTGTTTGGTTTCTCTGGATGCTACCAAGCTTGCCAAGCCTGTTTGATCCACCCACTGACAGCACCTGGGCGTAGTTTGGTGGCAATGCGCCAGTACCCTCCCAGCCCTGGTGCTCCTCAAAGGCCAACCAGGCAACCAGGAGCAATTTCCACTTGCCCTGCATTTGGTTCTCCTTGAGAACCATAGCCAGGTCAGCAGCCTGGAAGAGCGCCAGACACTGGAGCACCCAATCTGGAGCATCAGGGGGGACTTCCACCACCTCTCTTCCACCTCTGCGCCGCTCCCCATCCCTCATGGTCTTCTTGTGTTTCATCAACCCATCCATGCCCTCATCAACCTCTTGTTGCCTCTTCTCACCACTGGTGCCCTCCGAGCCCACAACAGGAATTGCAGAGTTGGAGAGCAATCCCAGATTTGCCACTGCCGGCCCAACATGAGCACTGTACCCTACCATGGAGAGAAGTAGGTCGGGTGAGGCTGTCGGTAGCAGTTCAGAATCCACATCTAGGATGAGACCCAGTGACGTGATGGAAGGGGTGGGACTTGTGGGATCATAGGAGCGCGCTGCGAGATGGCACAGGGTAGGAGAAGAGGCAGGCAAATGCACAGGGGAAGGTAGGCAAGAAGGGACAAGGGAAGCAGCCATGTCAGCTATACTTCTATATCAAACCCAGCATTTAGCCAGTGTGATCTCATAAGTCCAGAGTGTGTTTGAGCAGTCAGGGTCTCTGAGGCTGCTGGGGTGAGTTTGCTGGGGATGCCAGGGCCATAGAGATTTGTTTGGGGGTGGGAGGGGGTAAATAAATGACCAAGCAACCCTCCCAGGGTGGGGGCTTGGGTAGGCCTGTGGGGGGTGGAAGGGGTGGGAAAGACATGGGAAATCCGTCCAAAACAGGCAGGGATGGTGGGGGATGCATGATAGGGGCTAGTAGGATGGCAGGGTGGGTTGTAATGACCTGAACAGAGGGGGGGGACTTGGCCTCAGCATGCTCTTGTGCTGTGCCCCTACACATCATCTGGTTGTCCCCAATTTACAGGAACTGCCTTGGTCTTGACAAAGGAGAGACAAGAAGAAGTCATCCTGGCCAAGGCCCAGGAGACAGAGGATGAACAACAGAGCAGAGGGGTTGTCAAGGTTGAGATTCAAGCTGGGGAATCCAGTACACTACCTAGCTACT